GCGGCGCCTGGAGCACGCGGGAGCCTCGGGCTGCGATTCCATCCCGCCGATCCCGCCCTTCCCAAAGCTCCCTCCCGCCTGTCCTGCCCCGCTCCCGAGCTCCGGCCGCGGAATTCCCGGTGGGAATTGGCTTCGGAGCCTCCCGAGGCCGCGGCTCCATCCCGGCCCGGCCTGGGAACGGGAATTCCCCAATCCCGGATCCTCCGCGGGAGAATTCCCCTTCCAAACCCCAGGCCCACAGAGAGCCAGAATTCCCATTTTCCCCAGAATTCCCATTTTCCCCAGAATTCCCATTTTTCCCAGAAATTCCCTTTTTTTCCCCTGGAATTCCCATTTTTTCCCAGAATTCTCATTTTCCCCAGAATTCTCATTTTCCCCAGAATTCTCATTTTCCCCAGAATTCTCATTTTCCCCAGAATTCTCATTTTCCCCAGAATTCTCATTTTCCCCAGAATTCTCATTTTCCCCAGAATTCTCATTTTCCCCAGAATTCTCATTTTCCCCAGAATTCTCATTTTCCCCAGAATTCCCATTTTCCCCAGAATTCTCATTTTCCCCAGAATTCCCATTTTCCCCAGAATTCTCATTTTCCCCAGAATTCCCATTTTCCCCAGAAATTCCCTTTTTTTTTTTTTCCCCTGGAATTCCCGTTTTTTCCCAGAATACTCATTTTCCCCAGAAATTCCCTTTTTTTTCCCCTGGAATTCCCATTTTCCCCAGAATTCCCATTTTCCCCAGAAATTCTCATTTTCCCCAGAAATCCCCCCCTTTTTTTTCCCCCTGGAATTCCCATTTTCCCCTGGAATTCCCATTTTCCCCAGAATCCCCATTTTCCCCAGAAATTCCCTTTTTTTCCCCTGGAATTCCCATTTTTTCCCAGAATTCTCATTTTCCCCAGAAATCCCCCCCCTTTTTTTTTTCCCTGGAATTCCCGTTTTTCCCCAGAATTCTCATTTTCCCCAGAATCCCCATTTCCCCCAGAAATTCCCTTTTTTTCCCCCTGGAATTCCCATTTTTTCCCAGAATTCTCATTTCCCCCAGAATTCTCATTTTCCCCGAATTCTCATTTTCCCCAGAAATTCCCGTTTTTCCCCCCTGGAATTCCCACTTTCCCCCAGAAATTCCCATTTTTCCACCCTGGAATCCCCATTTCCCCCAGAATTCCCATTTTCCCAGCGTTTCTCACCTCCCCGTGTGGATTCCCTTTGGCTCTGCAGCCCCGGAGCTGCTCGGGGCCGTTTTTATCCCGATTCCAGAGGGTAACCAGGAAATCCAGCCGGGACCTGGAGCAATTCCCAGCGGGAAATCACCTCGGAAAATATTGACATTAATGGCAATTAAACATCTCTGCATCAGGGCATTAATCAGCCCTAAGTCCATGGAAAAACCCCCCAGAATTCCCTTTTTTTTCCATGGAAAACCCCAGCCTGCTCCTTCTTTGGTGAAATCCTTGGATTTCGGGGATCTGCCAGCCCCAAATCCAACATTTCCTCCCCAAAATGGGATCTCCAAGAGGAAATTTGGGATGGGGAGGGGCAGATCCATTATGGGATTGCCAAATCCCGGTCTGGGATTCCCAGGTTCTCTTTTGGGATTCCCAAATCTCATTTAGGAATTGCCAAGGATACTCCATTCCCAGATCCCGTCCTGGGGAAAGCTCTCTGCTCCATGGATACCCCAATCCCATTCCTATTCCCAATCCCATTCCCAATCCCATATCCCATTCCCATTCCCAATCCCATTCCTATTCCCAATCCCATTCCCTGCTCCATGGATACCCCATTCCCATTCCCGATCCCATTCCCATTCCCAATCTCACCCCGCTCCATGGATACCCCATTCCCAATTCCATTCCCATTCCCAATCCCAATCCCATTCCCAATCCCATATCCCACTCCCAATCCCACTCCGCTCCATGGTTACCCCATTCCAGATACCATTCCCGATCCCATCCCTCTCCATGGATACCCCATTCCCGATCCCATTCCTGATCCCACCCCCGATCCCATTCCCATTCCCACCTCTCTCCATGGATACCCCATTCCCAATCCCATACCCCAATCCCATTCCCATTCCCATTCCCGATCCCACCCCTCTCCATGGATACCCCATTCCCATTCCCGATCCCACCCCTCTCCATGGATACCCCATTCCCACCAGGCCCCGTCTCCGATAAGCGCTCCTCGCTGATGAGGGCAATTAGGCGCTAATTACCCCGCCGGGAGGCGCCTCCCGGGAGCGGCTCCCGCTGGAAAAGCGGGAACGGTTATCCCGGGATCTTTACGATGTGTGCCCGGGGCCAATAACCCCATTTCCCCCTCGCTAGGGTGGGCAGTTAATGGGGTGAGAGGAATTCCCGGCTGGAGCCGCTCCCGGGAACGGAGCAGGACTCCCGCACTTCCCAAATATCCCGAGCGGAGGGAGGTGGGAATCGCAGGAATTCCCAGAAAAGCGGGAATTGTCCCAAATCCTGGTGCAAGGCTCCAGCCCCGGCTCCTTCCCGGGGTCAGGCAGCCCTGGGATCTCCATCCCAGAATTCCCGGAATTCCTTGGGGAGATCCTGGGGGAAATCCCAGGGAAACTCGGGAACGACCCCAGGGATTTTCCACCCCATTTTTTTGGGTCTTTTCCCCCCATTTTTGGGAGGTTTTTCCTCCATTTTTTGGGTTTTTTTCCCCCCTCCTTTCTCAGCGTTCTGCTCCTCATCCACCCAATCCCAAAAAATTCCAGACCCAGGGATGGATCCCGAGCTGGATTGGGATTAAATTGGATTTTTATCCCCTCTCTGTTTTTTTTGGGGAGCCCCCACGAGTTGAGAATGGCGATTTCATTGAATATTGAGAGGTTTTTTATTGAATTTTGTATTTTTTATTGATTTTTTCACCTTTTGATTGAATTTTGTGGGTTTTTAATTGAATTTCGACGTTTTTATTTCCATTTTAACTTTTCTAATTTCAACTTTGAGTTTTTAATTTGTACTTTTGATGATTTTTAAAAACTGAATTTTGAGGGGTTTGAAATTTGAATTTTGAGGGATTTTTACTTGAATTTTGATTTTTAAAATTAAAAAAAAAAAATTAAATGTTAAGTTTTTCATCCAGAAAAGCCCAAAATTCCCTTTTGGAGCCTCCGGGAATTTCCCCCACCTGCAATTCCCAGGGCCGCCCCCTCAGGCTGGGAGCGCCGCGATCCCGAATTTCCCAGAATTAACCCCAAAATTCCCGGCCGGGCGGGAGGCGGAGGGGTTTTCCCACAAATCCGCGTTTCCCGGGATTTTCGGGATTCCTTGGGATGAGTTTTCCGGGCGGGGGGAGGAGCGGCTGCGTGTCTTTTTTTTGAGGTTGAAAAAGGCGGTTTTGGGTGTCCCGAGTGAGAATAAATTGATTTATTGGGCGGTGAATTCCCCCCTCAGCCGGGGGGGAATAAAATAAAATAAAATAA